TAAGAGTAAAAATACTCAAACCATTGGCAAACTATCTCATTTTTCCAGTTTAATAAATGCCCATCAAGCCACACCTACCTGTGGGAGTTACTTAATGAAACACACAACTTGTTTTATTGATAAAATCCAGGTTTTCTTGACAAAATATAACATATTTTGACTAATTCCATATTCTGAGTAGTATAATATTACCTCTGCCAAGAAGGTTACATTTTCATTGGGGTTAGTTTGTCTGTTTTCAACAGAACTAAAAAGTTATAGACAGACTATCTATCTATCTATCTATAAAAAGAAGTCACAAAACTGGGGGATGTTTAGCTCTCGGTAGAAGTTTATGAGAATTGTAAAACATTGTCATTACAGTGACATAATATCCTAAAATTGAGCCATTTCAGTAGAAGCAGGCTAAAGGGATTTCCTCATCTTGGACAATTTGTTGAAACTAAAGCCAGCAGCAGCGGTGATTGGACCACTACCATTGTGTTAGTAATGTGTCATGTGATCTTTAATCCAAACTACTTTTTTACAACGATGACACGTGTTGTCCATAAGTCTACTTCTCATCTGTGGAGGTACGGCATCCTGCTCTCCTTTAAAGGTGGGCCTTCAAGTCACTCTCGGCTCTGGGACACGGTTATTCTGGACAGGAGCAGGACTGATCTCCTAGGAGAAAGTGTGATTTTATTCCCCTAATGACTTGGATGAGCTGGAGCATTGTGGTCCATGAAGATCAATAAAGACCTGTACTGTTCACACCGCGGCACAATGGATCAGTCAGGGGCTCTGCTCACAATGACACAGTCACCAACATGGGACGAGCCGTCCACTTCTGCCTTCTTGTACTATTTCAGTCTCTGTTGCAACCTGTCGATGACACGCTAATCTCAATGGCTGCTTCCTTATAAGAACATCCTGTTTGTTGCCTTGCAATGGTAAGGTACTGCTGATGAATTGTTAGAAGTCATTTTGGTCTCATGATGTCATAATGTGATGGGCGCTGTGGAGGCACGGTGCATGTATGGAGGCCTTTTAGTCCTCCCCCTCACTGCAATCCCATTTCCTGTCTGTCTACTTTCAAAAACAACAGCTAAAGGCCACTAAAGCCTAAAAACTATTCAGCATGATGTGAGGAGGACCGTCTAAATACCAATTCTGATTCAAGGAGGACATTTCAGCACCTTAGGTGAGGGTGCTGCCATGGCGTGGAGGTAGAGCTCATGACCAATACACCGGCTGTCGTTGGTTCATGTCCCGGCACTGCTGACCTTTGCCAAATGTCTCTCCCCTGTCTTCAGACCCAAAGTTTCTATACTTTTGAAAATAAGGAAATAAGGAAAAAAGGTAAAGGCCACTAGAGCCTAAAAATACAATGGAAAAAAAAAAAAAAATACCTTGTGAATAATACCGTAAAGTTCCCTGTTAGAAAAACAGCAAGTTGTGCAAAAACTCCACCAGAAAATATTATTAATTTTAGGGTCATTGTGAAATATTACCCCATTGTGGAAAACCGCCTAACACACATCTGCTTTAAAAAAACAAAAAACAAAAAAACAGGCACCATGTCAGCACTGGAAAAATGATCTAGAAATAAGTAAAATTGTAAAAGTGTATTTACCCTTAATTTGATAGGTAAATGAGATAGTTTGCCAATGGAATTAGTATTTTTACTCTTAAAATAAGATAATTAGATAATATGCGCTTCAAATTAGACAATGCAATTGTGTTTTCTTATTTTAAGTGTAAACTGTCTTGCTCCATTGGCAAAATGTCTCTCTTACCTCCTGAATCCAAGAACAAATGCACTTATTTTAAGAAAAAATGACTTATGTAGATTTCGATTTTTTCCAACGGGGAAAAACATAGAAAGTCATGGAAAGCAGAGCTTAAAAGTAGAGCTTAGATCAAAATAATTAAGAAATACATACTTTAAAAAAAGGGGGGGGGAAATGACAAACAAAACTGATGGACTACTTAAACATAACCTTTTGTAAAAAAAAAAAAAAAAAAAAAAGATTTAAAATAAATATTTATGCCATATCGTTTTCTCTGCTTAAAAATGCTAAAATAACACATTGATGCTCTGATAAATAAATTAAAAACATGAATAATAAGATCGCAAACGAATCGCTGTGAATGAAGATGAAAAAACGTTAAGATTCTAAAGCGAGCAGAAACAAATGTTTCCCGACTTCTGCTTTTCTTTTGTGTTTTGCAACCTGAATAAAATTAGCTGACAAGCACAGAGTAAAGAAAACAATAAGGAAATCACCAGGCACTAATTTAATCATCACTTGTTAAATAACTTTACTAGTTTTGTGCAGAAACAGAGAAGGAATATTTTACAAAAGGAGAAAAAGTAAACAAGAGTCTCAAAAAGTGACTATACGGAGACTAGAGCACAAAACCATATTTTTCAGCTCGGCGTCCTGATTTTACTGAAATGGTGCAAATTACACAATGGGCTTTTTGCTCATGTTGATGGTCTCGTAGGTGTCACTGGTTTTGGACGTCAGACCCTGCAGAACACAAACAAATACACTAAAAATGAGAATATTTAAACAAGGTTTTTCTATTAGTACTTCTTGCTGCTAGTCAGGGTGTAAACTAGTGACAGCCTGATGCCTGTCCTATAAAAACCAAAACAAGGGGAAAAAAGACCCGCTGACATGAGATAGGCTGCCACTTTTCTCTCATCTGCCTTTTTTAAAGTCTTTTTAAGCTTAAGAATAAGAAGTCTCACCGCATAGATGCCTCCACCTGCGGACTGCTTCTGTGGGACGGAAACACAGATCATCACCTCAGTAGCCGAGTCATTTAGATATAAACACACTGAACAGCTAGATTTCCTTTATTCGGAGGAAAAATAAGTTTGTTTTTGTTTTAATTGCATTTGAAAGGAAACAAGTTGTGAGGAAACAAGCAGGAAGCAGGATTTAACACTAGAGCCACCAGTGGAAACTCTGAGTGTGAAAATAAATAATGTAGGTCGGTGGTCAGCTTGAGTTTACAGGAAATGATTGATTGAGGCTGGTTTTTAAGAACTACGACATTTCGAGGGTAAAATGGCACCTAACAATGCCAGACCATGGAGTTGCATAGATAACGCCACCATGATTGGGTTTGTTCTAAAAAACACAGACAGGTAGCTTCATATTTACCTCGGGGTAATCGGCAATGTTGTTGGATGGACGCATCTGTTAAATAAATGAAGCAGAAAGAGGAAAATGTACTTTTTCCACAAGAAACAAGCACAATTAGCTGCTTTTTCTTCCAAAGTAGTTCTGTTTGCAGTTAAACCTCCTTATTCCACTGTAAAAAGTGAGCTGAAGGAGTAAAATCGGAGCCAAACTTCAGAGCGTTTTCACGTCTTACCCTCAGTCGGCAGTAAAGGATGGTTAGAATGATGCCGTACAGGATCAGCACCCCATCCAGGATGTAACAGACGACCATGTCTCCAGCTGGCTCTGTATGCGTACACACAGCGCACCACGAGATATCAGCATCAGCTGCCATCAACAGATATATAAACAACTCCTAATGCGAAACTTTACCATGCATCAGAAGATGAAGATGGATGAAGAGAGGGCTGGAACTCACCGGAGAAGAGCAAAGAAATGGTTCTCCTTTCGTCGACTGTCTGAGAAACGTCAAAGTGTCTGAAGAGTATCAGCGAGTGACTGAGAGCAGGAAGTGAAGGGCTCTCTGTCCGTTTTGAAGCTATGAAACCACACGCCTACCACATCAGCCATCTTCCCCTCAGAGAAGTTCCTCTTTAAACTCTTTGTAAGCAACTGTCTTCTTTAATGTGAAATTCCTGAGAGAAGATATTTTCTGCAGCAACACTCGAAAGAACAAAAACAACTGAAGTGAAACAATCTGGCCTGAGCCGCTCAGAAATGGGTACCAAAGACAGGTTTATTAGGAATACATGGTTTAATGATAGAAAAATGTCTAAAACACTTTACAAGCTACTGTTACCAAAAAAAGAAAACACAAATCTACATTTTTTTGTCTTTACAAATAAAAACATTCAGAAAATTGCATCGTCATAACTTAGGCACCTTCAAATGATACAAAAGTTAAGTTCTTTTAAAATAAAAAAAATGGAGCCCAAAAATATTTTTTTGCATGCTTTCTTAAAAAAAAAAAATGTTTGTTCGTATTTAACGTCAAACACTTCAGAGTTTGTGAGAGGGTTTAAAAAATAAAAGAAATCTGGACTTAGAAAGGCAAACAGACTGTAGCTGAGCCGATGGAGGAGCCGATGGCTGCGGATCCTCCAGGTCTGCAGAGAAAAAGGCAGAATAAGGGTTCGTCTAGAGCGGCGCAAGGCGAGGCGGTGGTCAGACGAGTTACAGTCCTACGTCTGCTTTGAGGCAGAAATCATTTTTTGCTTCAAAAATGAAAAAGAAATATTCTCCATTTTGTTAAAAAACGGCTTCATGTAGAACGATTTCATCTAAAGGAAGTGTTGTGACCCCACTTAAGACGTACTACACCAAGATAAGATCATCTCTATTTAGATTATTTCCTTTTAGGTAAAAACCAAAAGGTTTCAAATGCCTTCAAAAATGAAACGACTGATAACTTTCTATTGGCAAAAAATTCCACCATACGATGGCGTTTCATTTTCATCAGGCGTGTGTCTTCCTCATCTTGATGGCTTTATTTCTGATTTTGTATTTTTTACACCAGTTGAAGCTCTTTCAATGTTAAATTTGGTCAGTTTTAGCATCTTTGAAAATAAAATGCAGCTAAAAATTTACAAACATGGCTAAAATAAGAACGTTTTCCAACTACGGTACCAGTTGGAGTTTATGTTTAAATAATGAGGAAAAAAATGGGGAAATGATTAAATAATGTGCAGTCAGCATTTAGCTTTTCCACATAACTTCATCATACTTTACTATATTTAAGGTCTTAGAAACGCTGATTAAAAAAAGCTTTTTGAGATCTAATCAATGTGAAAATTTTTGTTCCAGTTAGTGTCATGGCGAAGGGTCAGGAAATCAGGCGTTGGATGCAGATCTGCAAACAGCAGAGTCTGAGTCCTGACCACCCAACCGCTGCCATAAATATAAACCATATTTCACACTTGAATCATATCCTGTATGTTTCCGCGTTTTAAACTTGATTAAACCCGAAATACTGCAGCTGAATTCAGTTTTACAGCTTAAGCACAACACAGTAAGACCCTGATATTGATGCTCATTTTACCACCTGGAAAAACAAAACAAAAACGAGGTTTAATTGTTTGTGTCCACATCAAGCTGCAGACACTGTGTGCATTTTTTCCTCAAATTTTTGATTTAGTGCCAACAAATCCCGAAAGCTGAGCACCAAAACCATCATGTGTTTATTAAAGGTGTGCCATTGTCCAATTTTAGCCCATTATGGCTAAAGACAGTTAATGAAAAATCTTGTATTTAGCCTAAAAAAGTTTAAATAAATGCATTGAGTCAGAGGGTTTGGTTTATTTTAGACACGTTTGACCTACAGCATCATACAGACGGCGATACTATTGAGGGATCATCATCAGCTTTAAATAGCCTTTAGTCATATCAAGGCAAAACGAACCATTTAATTTAAACTCTAAATGTAAATGGATTTGGTTATTTCCAAGTCATCTCACTGGATTTGTTGGCAATTAGAAGATTTGGATCACTGCCAGACTTGTGCATCTAAACATGCATCTAAACTGCAGGGAAACTCCTGCTGAAAATGTTCTTGCTCAGAGCTTAAACCGGTGCAGGGGGGGAAATTTTAAAAAAGGCTGCATTGTTACAAAAAAAAAAAATCAGAGCACATAATGCTACATTCTGTAGGTTAAAGCAATAAAAATCCCCTCGCTCTCATATAAAAGCAGGTCCGTCAGAGAAAACATCACCACCAGCGATGAAACAGACAGAGAGAGAGAGGGGAAGTGACAGCTGTGATGTAATCGCCTCCTTCCTCCTGCGTTCGTGTGTCGAGTCATTGCACCTCTATAGCCTCAGTGGTTACAGTAAAACAAGTCAAATGTTCTTGAAAAGGAAACACTGGTGGTGAAAAGGCATCTGCTCATTTTTTGGGGGGTCAGGACAATCATTGAGCCGATAACAGTTTGATGATCAGAAAAGCTGCTCTCCTCCCTTTGATTAGGTTCTGTCAGAGAGGAGGAAAGGAATGACTGGATGACAGGGTGTCCCGTCACATCCAGGTGGAGCGAGCTGCAGGACGGAAAGAAAGAAGATCCATCAGCCGCCCTCACACCGAGGTCTCCGACTGCAGCCGCATCACGAACTTGTGGCTCTTTGGATCGATGAATTCCTCCCCCAGCCGCAGGAAAGGAAGCGGTGTTACCGTGACGACCAAGGAGAAGTCCGAGCGCCGCAGGGAGAAGACCAGACCCTGTCGAAGGCCCGAGGTGACGGGCTCCTCGCTTACCAAGGTCCACTGGCGCCCCCTGCCGTTTTGCTGCTGGTACTGCATGGTGGGGCCGGGGGTGAGGTATCGCTCTAGGAAAGCCTGACAGAGAGAGAGAGAAAGATCAAACTCATATTTAATCTTTATTCAACTTATCTGAATATTTAAGGTTAATGTCTGCACACTTTTCCAGCCTCTTTAGTCCTCAACTTTCTGATTACTCAATAATATTTATTATGAATTTGAGGTAGATACTGTGTTTACAGCAAGCAGGACTGGTGACGGGACCAGAAAACCTGACAATGGGAAGGAGGGAGGCCACAGGAGTAGAACAAAAAGAAAAGGCAGGTTGGAGAAAAAGAGGGGGACAAAAGGAAAAAAGTAAGGAATGGGGAAAAAGAGGGACAAAAACGAAGAATAAAAGACAAGGTAGGGGAAAAAAATGGAGGCAGAATTCAAGGAGAGATGGAGGGACAGAAAAGGAGATAGCAAACACGAAAAGAGACAGGACACATCTATGGTAGAGAGAATAAAAGCCAGGATGGAGAGACATGATGAGGGAAACAAGAAAGATAAAATAAAAAAGGAAATAAGGGAAGATGGACACAATGAAGGTTTATGAAAAAGGAAGCAAGGAAGGAAAAGGGAAGGGCATAGGAGAGAGAGATGTAGAATAAATGGACAACAAAATAAAGAAAGGAAAGACGAGGCATTAAGTACAGAAAAGACAACATTTCTTTAGCCGTAGAGGCATTTCCAAGCTCTATAGGATCCATCTTGACAGTAGGATGCTAAGGACTAAGGTTAGGGTACTTACTGCCTGTAAAAACATAAAACAAACACTAATCACTATCTCAACAACATGTACCTACAATTTACACGCAGAGATGCAACAACTATAGCCGATTAATCAAAAGGTTTTATTTTCATGTTTTCTTTAAAGTTTTAACACCAAAGTAACAAACCATTGAATTATTTCATAAACACAATAGTCTCCATGGTCCACTTTGCTTGGTGAGTAAAGTCCTGCTCAAAAGATCACAAAACTCTAATGCCCCTATCATTTTACTGTGTATTATTAATTAGCAGAAAGGATATAAGGTTGGTTTGGAAATACCAGTACATGATCTATGTTGTCATTTTCCAAGAGGAAAGGGCCTGGAGTCCATCACAGGGTCTGGAATGCACCAGTGTGACAGGAAGCACTTAGATAGCAGATACTCTGCATTATTTATGGAACTTCACACCATTAGCTTACGCTTGATCTTTTAACCCATTTTAATTTTTAGGTTGTTTTTTTTATTGATCAAGATCATGTTTTTTATTGATTATCTTATTTATCTTGGCTTATATAGCAGCTAAGGTCCAAGGAAAATTGTTCAAGAGCCACGAAGTCTGGCTCCAGGCAAGTTCTCTTCAAAGAGCTGAAGAGATTCCAGTTAAGCTTCCACATCACTGGACACTAAAGCTAAAACATGCAGGTTATTCTAAGCAACTAGTTCATTAGAAAGATGTTAAACTCACCTTGGGTGTCATGTTGTGAGTGATGCAGAACTGCAGGTGTGTGAGGATGCTCTCCATGCTGTGGAAGGCCTGCTGCCGCGTCGTCCTAAGGTACTTCTGCATGGCCCGGGCCATCGGAGCGAAGATGGCCTGGGCGGCTTCTCTAGGGTCCATCACCTCTCTGGGGTGTTTAGGAGACGAGGCCACTTCATCCTCATGGAGGCGTTTGATGTGCGTGAAGGCCTCTTCTACCGCTACAACCAGCCTGCACCAGACACAAAAAAATCAAGAATAACTTACAGACTCGTGGAAGAGCATGACAACGGTTAACTAGTAATGTAACAAATAAAAACATTGAAAGCAACATAGGGCGTCTATTACTGGGGATCATTCCTGGAAGGTGAAGTGATGCAAAAGACATTTGAGGTTATAGAATAGATTTTAATTAAATGGGTAAATATCAGTATTAAAAGATTTGTCAGCAGCCATTAACTGTCCGTCATATAAGAGAGCTGTTTGAGGAAAAAATAGGCTACCCTATCAACTTAGACTTACTTCTTTGTCATTATTTATACACAGAGTTTATACAAAACTAAATTTCGATGCATACAGCTTTTCAACAGTGAATGAGCAGCTCAGCAGTGAAATTAACTTTTTTTTTAACTGAACTTTATTGATCTCACATTGGAGAATTAACTTCTGCATTTAACCCATCCCCTTTGGGGAGCAGTGGGCTGCCACTGTGGGGCGCCCAGGGAGAAATTTCCATTTATAAAGTGCAGCAGTGATCAAAATGTTAACAGTTTAGGAGAAACATGGTGCATCAAATGATCAATTTCGAATTTACCTTCTTTTAAGAGGAAAAAAACCCAACAGTTTGAAAAAAAATAACATAAATTTGATACATTTTCAAAATTATTTTGGCCCAAACAAATCTGAAAAATCTTGCCCTTTTTTTATCCCTTTAAAGAGCTCAAGGTAATATTATGTAATTTGGCCTCCTGCTGCAGTTTCACCCATGACTGTTACTGCAGGGTCACATATTCACATAATGATATATATACACTCAACAAAAATATAAAAGCAACACTTTTGGTTTTGCTGGTTTTCCAAGTGGTGGTCACACCAGATACTGACTGGCTTTTAAAAAAAAATAAAATAACCGCAAAAGAAATCGGATTTTACAAAAAAAAAAATCAGAATTGAGCATGAAGGCCTGCAGGGTGATTGTAGCCTAAGACACACCTGTGCACTAATCATGGCGTCTAATCAGCATCTTGATATAGAACACCTGTGAGGTGGGATGGATTATCTCAGGAAAGGAGAGGTGCTCACTTTCACAGATTTATGCTCCGTTCGAAAACCTAGGACGCGTCCTTAGAAGGACGGATTCAAAGGATGATTACGTCATAGCGCAGCGCCGAGGTCTGGTCGGATTCCAAGAGTCCTCGTTATGCGGCCTTAAAATGTGTCCTTCTTTTTGCCTGATTTGAAGGACGGGTCCGATGTATCCTGGCTACCCTTGGATATCCCAGGATTCATTGCGAGACCAAGCAAGCCGGCTGCTCCGTGATCAGAGGGAAGGTTACTTGGCGCCGAACAGTGGTGAAAATTGGAAGTTCAGTTTATATAACCCAAGTCTGTGAATAGCTCCGTCTGAAATGAATTAAAATAGTTGTTTTAATGGTTATTGAGTCAGATATGTGGCGGTAATGTTTAATTAATCTAAAGGTTTTTATCTGTTACTGTGTAAATGAGTTTGGCTGTAATTTAAGGACAGATTCTAATAGATCTGCAGAGTGGGGACTATAAATCTGATAGGAGTTTAAGTTTTTTTATTGCCGTTTTGCACAATATGCTTAACTAATTACTTTTTGTTGGTAAATATTAGAGATTTTGCAGATATATTTTTATACAAACATTGTTTAGATTTACTTATATCTTTCTACCCCTTTTATAGAATAGAATAGAAAATCCCTTTATTGTCCCACAATGGGGAAATTTACAGCAG